TCGACCATCAGAGGCAAGAGGAAGAGACTGTAAGATCGGAATCGAGAGCTTCAAAGCTTTAAAGAGTAACCTAGACGAAGACGTCGATAACCAAACCGAATTCATTCTCTCCGTCACTTCGTTAAAAGCTCCAACAAGCTCCACAACCATTTTCCCTCCCGCTGCTTCCGGAGACCGAGCCGTCGATTCAATCGCCGTATCGCTCGCTTCCGACCTCGGATTCCACCGTCGACGTCGTTGGTGGTTGTGCTTAATCAAACGAATCGAATGAAGAAGATGATGAACTTTCTGGGATCTGCATCTCGGAATCGGAATCGGAGTAGGACGAATTGTAGACATTTTTTGAGTTTGTCGCAAAAAAAAAATTTCAGAATTTTATAATGTACCGTTGCTTCTTCTTTTTGTAGCAATGGATAAGCCACGTAGGATTTTGTTTTATCGTCCACATATTTATTTTTCAAAGAGTGAAATAAAATAAACTAGAGACTCTCTTTGTGACGAAGAGGGTTACGTTTATCTAAAACCCTACGCAAAAGCCTTCGAGTTCTGGTTTCTGCATCTCTTTCCCTTTTCTTTCTGCCATTGAAGCTTCGCTTCGATTTGGAAAATCATGGCGGCCATACCGAGAGGCCTCATTTCTCGCATCAATCAGTTTCTATCGATCCGTTCTATGACTCAATCTTCATCATCTCAATCTCTTCCTCATTGTAGCTTCTTTCTCCTCCGAAGATTTAGTTCCGAGTCTGGGTTCGTCGACGGTAGTGGATCTGATATAATCGGAGCTCCGACCCGAATCATCGAGGCGAAACCCGGTGAGATGTCTCCGAGATCTAAAAGGACTGGGATCATCGCCGTCAAGTGTGGGATGACTGCGCTTTGGGACAAATGGGGAGCTAGGGTTCCTATTTCTATTCTTTGGGTTGATGATAACATCGTTTCTCAGGTTAAAACTGTTGAGAAAGAAGGGATTTTCGCGCTACAGGTAACTCAGTCGCAGTATAGTATCATTCCCATTTTTGCAGATGTTAGTGTATCTGATTGGATTGTTGATAGCTCGTGGTTACACTTCTTTTAGTGGTTAATTGATGAATCGATTTTTTTTTTCTATAGTGTATTTAATTTCGAATTGAAATGGAAGCGAGATTGCTGTAAACTGCTCCATATTGTGTGGGATTTCTTGATGAATTGGGGTTATGGAGTGGTTATGTTTGTGAAGGTCATGGTTTAGTAATGTGATTGGCATGTGTTGTTCTGTGTTAGTTAGATCGGATGTGGGCAAAAGAAACCGAAGCATTTGACAAAGCCTGAGGTGGGTCATTTCAGAGCTCAAGGTGTGCCGTTAAAGAGGAAGTTGAGAGAGTTTCCTGTGACTGAAGACGCTCTTCTTCCTGTTGGTACTTCACTCTGTGCCCGTCATTTTGTTCCGGGACAGTATGTTGATGTCACTGGGATCACTCGAGGGAAAGGTTTTCAGGTGAATCCATTCTCAGCTGCATCAAAGCTTGATATTTTCTTCGGTTTTTTTGCATGACATAGAACAGAACTGGGTAATGATAAGTTGATTGTCAAGTAACCATGTAGAAGATAAATAGCAATCAAGTGAGTGAATATGTAACAGTATTTTGTGTAGAGTAATGGCTGTGTTATTGATGTGTTTTGTTATGTAATTTGCAGGGAGTCATGAAGAGATGGGGTATGAAAGGAGGGCCGGCGTCACATGGTTGTTCAAAGGCCCATCGAAAAGGTGGTTCCACAGGTCAAAGAGATGCTCCAGGAAAGGTATGTGCCAAATTGCTTCTTGTGAATTTTCTCCAAAGCGATTCACGATACTGACTTGTTAACACGTTGATCAGGTGTTCAAGGGGAGAAAGATGCCTGGGAGAATGGGTGGAGAACAGGTGACAGTAAAGAACGTTTGGGTTTACAAGGTTGATCCTGCAAGGAACCTCATCTGGGTGAGAGGACAAGTAAGTATCTCAATCCGAATTCCGGTCTTTGGCTCGCACTTACTTTATGATCGTTCGATGTGAGTGTCATTGGGTTTTCTTGGTGTTAGATCATGATTGTGATTTGTTTCTTGTTGCAGGTTCCTGGTGCGGAAGGAAACTTTGTGTTCATAAAAGATGCGTGTTACAAGAAACCAGAGATCTCAAAGCTTCCGTTCCCAACGTACTTAGCTCCAGAAGACGAAGATCCATCAGAATTAGAACCGTTGGTCGCAGATCTTGGAGAAGTCGACCCGTTTATGTTGGCAGAGTGATGAAAACGACATGATCTTGATCCTGATTTTGGCTTTTTCATTTTATTTTAACGTTTGTGGAAGACCAAGAAGCTGAGGAAATGGGAGTCAGAGAGCTAAAGCTTTTTGCAGATGAGATTGTCTTTTTAGTTGTTTGGATGTGTATGAAATTGAAAACAATGAATAGAGAGAGAGGAATTTTAGTCTCACATTTGTTGACGAATCACGAATGTTTTAAGCGTTTTGCAATAAGCAGTGAAGAAAATTATATTTTCAATCTTCTATAAGTATATTTGGAGAAAAAAGAATATACACATATATACATTTAAGAGAAAAAGAATCAAGATAAATTTAATACCTTGTATAAAATTTCAACTCCCAATAGAATGTGTTCTGATCTCTTCGAGCCCAAGAGCTTGAAAAAACTTCTGAGAACACAAACGCTTCTTTTCA